TATTCCTTCCTTGCTGACCGGACTTTTCCTTTATTAGCCATGATGAAAGATCATAAACACATGAAGCAGATAAATAATGAACCAGTTCTGTATCTCTGCCTGCAGCTATGAACACTGAGGAAGACTCTGATCTGATGAAGGTAACTCAGTCAGGGCTGCAGCAGGTATTTATTATCTGGGTGTTTGCAGCTGAAGGAAAGCAGAGGGCAGGTTTTAACGAAGCCTCGGTCGTATTATCAAGGTCACAGTGAAGAATGCTGCTTCCACCTTCGTGATTCATCATCTCGGCCTCTGAAGACGAGCAGGGGGAGTGGAAACGGAACAGAATGCAGCGCCCTGCACTGTACTGATGGACGACAGCAGGCTGGCGGCACATCACTCACGGCTCAGACAGCAGGTCTGTCTGGGGGGGGGGGCTGGTCTCATTTATTCTTCTCTTTCCAGTTTTGCCTCCAGACTGTAGCTCAGAACATGACGCCGTCCTCTCAGCTTTATTCATCAAACACGGATGAACCTTCAGGTCATCTAATGCGCTGATTAGATAATTAATGTCATCATCATCAGGTCAGTTTGCTGATGTCATCAAACGTGTGTTTTTTAAAACACTGTCAGGTTAAAAAGAGTCTGAGAATCGACTATTTATATCTGAACTGAGAGAAAGACTCGTTCCTCTAAAACCAACATGGCAGCAGAACGCTGGCAGGTCCACAGGGCTGTGGGGGGGTCTGCTTCACTGCCGCTGGTTACAGGTGTCACCGGCAGGTGTGTCCTCACAGCTGGAGCTCATAGAGGTTCAATCAGGAGGAGCGCATAAAGAAGGGCGCCCCCTTCAGGCAGATGCCAGATTGTTGCGACTCGCTGAGTAGCTTTGATTCCCTTCCTAGATAAATGAAACACTGTATGACTTTAGCCACTAGGGGCGCTAGACCTGAAACAGCTAGGTTTAGCACCCCTAAAGGCTACTAGCAGTACTGCACTGTCTCTAAATGACCCAATCTCCCTGGTCTGGTTCTGCTAACAGAGCAGTTTGGACCAGCAGACTGAGAAGTTCTCATTAAGACAAGATTTACCGTCTAATCCTCCATCAGAGAACCAGAAACATGTTCACCTTCGTCTC